TTTCATCATTATTTCATGATGTATGTCATTTATATTTACTTCTGTCTAGTTGAGGATTTGACTAACTGTTCTCTTGGTAGCAAATATCAAGTGTGGTGTTGTATGTGCATTTTTGTATGTCCATCTGCTGCATAAAATTAAATTTTTAGTATAGTTTTTCATCATTATTTCTTACTCTGCTACATAATCATCTTCTAACCCATGCTTTGAGTTTCATGAAAGCATTTTAATTAGTTAACACTTTTAGTAACATTTTCAGAATATTTATTATCAAAGGATATGAAATGTAGAAATATGATTGTGTTTCACATGTTTAATCAGATGCTTTGTTAATATCTGCTCAGGATCAGACAACAACCTAGCTGAGTAGTCATGTAGAATACACCATATTCTGTTAGCCTTGAGACTATATCCTCTGGACAGGAAATAAAGCACTCATTCACTGCAGAAAGTTTGATGAGAAGGATCAATATGCAGACATTTAGCCTAGTTATGGAGGAAATTTCATGCTTGAAGAGCTTTGGCTTAAGATCCTGTCCTGCAGTCATTTTGAACTAGGTTATGTGTTTCTTAAACCATGCTATCCTTGGCACATGACTGTACCACTGTGACTTACTTATCCTACAGATAGAGTTAATACTACTTCTTACCTAAAAGCAAAAATGATTTGTTTTGAGTCTATTTGATGCCTACTTCCTTTACTTCAAGAGGATTGCAAAGACTGATACAGTTCACATTGCAATTCATCCAGCAGTTACAACAGGGTGATCACAAACCCTTGTTTAAAATGGCTTTCACAAACTTGACTCTCTTGGCTCTTCAGACAGAGGAGTAAAGGACATTAGAGGACCCAGGAGCTTTTTCTTGGAACAGCCAAGATAAGGGCTCTTCTGCTTCAGACTGGATTAACAACGGTCGCCCCACTGGTAGTGTTAAGACATTTCAGGGCTCATTCAGGCAAAGAAAATGCAGTTAGAACCTCCAAATGAAACATAGGACAAAACTAGGTATCTGGATCTTGTTTGGATATTAGTCAAAGATAGAAAAAAAAGCATTCTTTAATCCACTGAAAATTGTTCCGTATACATTTAATCTGTGTCATCGTAATAACCTGCAATGATCAACTTGTTTTCCTCATTTGATGTCCTAAGTGACTGCTTCTAGAGCCAGCACTAATACATAAAGTATACCATCAAGTGAGTTTAAACATGACTAAATTAATAAGCATTATCCTATTTATTTAAAAATTACTTCTGTTAAGGTTGTATATACATGAACGATTATAGTGTTATAAAATCATAGAAATAACAAGAGTCAGAAGAATTGTTCTGAACACCTCATTTGTACTGTTTGCAGAATAAACTCTCCTAAATGCCAGTTGAGCAAATGAAAATAAGACTTTCTAGTTCCTTAAATTATTGAGCTGCAATTTAAAGAAATTGAAGAGAATGTTGAAAAAATATCAAGAAAAAATTTCTCCCAGGGAAATTTTGTGATCATGAGTCATTTATTATGAAATAAGCATCAACTTACCTTGTAAATTTTTAAATAAGTACTTTTATAACCTTGAAATAAGTGAACATACCTAAGAGTCTGCATAGGAGGAATATTGAAAAGCTATCACAAGTGATATGCAATCACATGAGAATCAACAGATACAGAGCACAGAAGGGGCTGGCTGCATTTTTTAAATCTGTTTATTCAATTGTGGCCAATTAGGAAACTATGTTGAGAACTAATGAACTTTCAGCAAATGGTGGTTTTAGTTAACGTATTTGATTCTGTACAGGTGTTTTCCTGTCCTTGATACGCAAAAATTATTTAGAGGACAAGTATGTATAGTTCAGTGGCTTAGGAATCCAATTGGGACACCTACAACCCATGAATCAGAGTGACTGGGCACAAATTTTGGCCCTGCTACTTCTAGTTCCTGCTAATAGGCAACAGGGTGGCTACAGGTGACAGTTCAGAATTGAGTCCCTGCCACCCACTAAGAAACCTGAATTGAATGCCTAGCTCCTGGTGTCAGCCTGGTGTAGGTCTGGTTGCTGTAGGCTGTTGCGGAGGGGGTGCAAAAAAGAGGATGGAGGGTCTTTCCCTTGGGCTGTATGCCTCTGTGTGTTTTTATGTGTGTCTCCCTGTGTGTGTTCACATGCATAAGTCCCTTTTCTTTTTGAATAAAATAAATGAAAGAGTAACAAAAAGAATTTCAGCAGCAAAGCAAGGCATTTTATTTAGTCCATGAAAATCGGCTTAAATGTATTAAGTGTTCATATACACATAGCACTTTTGACTCACAAAAAAAATCATTTAAGAATTGGTCATTTTTAAATTTAAGAGATTTGAGAATAACATGAGTTGCACCGATTTATAAACACTTGAGACACACACTTGTCAGAAAGATGAAAATGTTGTGATTGCAAATACATTTGTAATCTTGTTCGGTCAGCACTATCGCTGCTGGGAACACTCTAAAGCTCCCAAGCCCACAGGACTGAGGGCTGGAAGCACAGCTGGGTGATTCGTTTGGTTTCTTGATTCTTTTCCTTGAATATGTGACATCCAGGCAATTATATCATTCAATATCGGACTCAGTCACACAGTAATTTACTAGCCACATGTGGAGATGCTGTGACTCTTCCCTCTGAATGCATGAAGTGTACACATAACTCCTAGAACATGAAGAAACTGCATTTTTAGATGTAGCATGAGCTGTGCTATATGATGTGTCCTTCTTTCTTGTTATTTTCCAGTGGCTCAGTTACCATTCATCACAAAACTGCCTAGCACTCCACAGATGGACTTGCTGCTGCTTATTTCCAGTATACCCATATAGCATCTGCTCATCACATCAAATGCCTAGGTTTGTCTTCTGGACAAACCATATTCACCCAAAATATTCTGTTAGCTTTGTTTGCTTCCAAAATGGAAAGCATCTGCCTTTCTAACCTTAGCCTTAATGTATGGATATACTCCTAAAGGGATACAGAGAGTCATTTTTCAGAATAATACTCAATTCTAACAGTGAATGTTGACAAAAGAAGGAGTAAGAAGTAGGACTCTTAAATATGTTGTAAGTAAAGCAAATAAAAGTGTAGAGATATTCTATGATTTCTTGCTTCAAAAATTCACCCATATGAAATAATATGTCTTATTTTTGAACGGATTAGTTTTGGTGAATTTATAGATAAAGACAAATGAATATAAGAATGGTTTCTCTACAGTGGGGGGTCCTATGAAGGAAGCTGCTCAGAATTGTTATGGTAGGAAGTGATGTCTGAATCTACCTCCTTAGACAGGACTATATTAATTGTGATGTTTAAAAAGTGCTTGCCATGCTTGTCTGAAGATTTCTTTGTGATAGAGATGCCAGAATACACATTTACCCACATTATCAAAATTCACATTATCATAAGCTTGATTAGGTTTTTTTCCCTCTCATTTAAAACTATTTTATTTTGTTTTATGATAGAGTTCCACAGGCTCTGGGCTTGCCTATGTCCTTTCCCCAACCCCATTGATTCCCCCTCTAGTTTTACAATGGATGTCCTTCATGAACAGTCACAAGTTCATCATGTGGTTATTGAAGTGTTCCCCAACAATACAGGCATGGGCAATGTCCATCATGTTACTGTTAGGATGTATTCAGTTCTTTCACTGGGAATCCATCTTTGGTCTGAATGCATAGAGACATACAGTACTTTGTCTCCAATTATTATGGTTTCAGATCATTTTTAAAGATGTATTCATTTATATTGGGAAAGCAGATTTACAGAGAGAAAGGGGATAAAGAGGGAAAGATCATTAATCTGTTGGTTTTCTCCCCAAATGGCTTGCTTCTGGAGATGAGCCAGTTAGAAGCCAGGAGCTAGGAGCTTCTCCAGAGTTGTCCATGTGAGTTCAGGGTCTCCGGGCTTTGAGCCACCCTCCATTGTTCTCCTAGGTCATAACCAAGGAGCTGGATTGGAAGTAGAGCAGCTAAAATACAATCCAGTGCCTATATTGGATACTGGAGCTTGCAGGTGAAGAATTAACCAGTTCAGCTATGGTCCTGGCACCAGGTTTTAGATCTTTGTATTACTTGTTTGGGTCACATATTTCAGTGCTTTAGAGATTTGCAAGATCTAAACCTTCATGACACCCCACAATAAAATGATTCCTTTGACCTTTGTGCATGCATGGTAATTTGTTTCTCCTGTTGGTTTAATCCTTGGTATCCTTGCCATGATGGAAAAAATAAAATCTAAATTCAATAATGGCACATCATAGGTTGAAACAGATACTGTATGATAAAACAGTGAAATAATTGAGATACTTAAATTGAAAACATAATAACATTTAATCTGCAATTTCTGCATAGTATCACATGTTACTATCTGTGACTTTTTTGCTGTTCCAGGAACTCGCTCCATCGAATTTGCTTAATCGTGTGAAAATGAAGATTGCTGTTATAGCTAAATGCTTTGAGAGACCTAGGAAGTAATAAGATAAAGTAGGAAGAAAAAAAAATCACAGTAAAGAAACCAGTATTTCTAATAGGAGAACCTGCTTTTACTTTTTAATTAAAATTTAAGTTAAGAAATGATATGGCAGAAAGAACAAAAGAAGGAAAATACGAGGCTATCCAGTCTGTTGCATGCTACTTACTCATGAACCTGGACATGGCTTAAATTGCCGAGGCCCTAGCTAAATAATCTGGTTGAATATATCATTATACTCTCACCTATTAATTCATAGCTTGCAGTTTTGTAAAGATAAAAGCAAAGTGTACACTTAAGCAAAGATTGTACTATCATACGCGACAATTAGTGTCTTATTTACTAAATGCAATGATCCTGTATGTCTGGTGAACTATTACAAAAGTGATTTTGCTGAGAAGATGATATTTTCTAATCTGTTGAAAAAATGTAGTAATTCCTCGTTCTTTCTTCATGCACATCATTTGTGAGTGGATGTTTCATATTTATTTTTCATGTGTCCATTAATGTTTCCCTCTTCAGGTGTAATCTAGCCCCTGTGGTGGAGTTTGCTGCAGATGTGGGAACTAAATCAGATTTTATTACCATGAACCCATCAGTTGTACAAAGAGCATTTGGAGGCTTTCGGAATGAGAGTGACAGAGAAAAATTTGTGCATAGACTGTCCATGCTGAATGACAGTGTCCTTTGGATTCCCGCTTTCATGGTCAAAGGAGGAGAGAAGCACGTGGAGTGGGTTAATGCATTAATCCTTAAGAATAAGCTGAAAGTGCGCACTGCCTATCCATCACTGAGACTTATTCATGCTGTCAGAGGGTAAGTGACTGGAAAAGACCAGGCTGTCCTTGGCACAATGGAATATGTAACTAACTCTTTTTCCTTAGCCAGGAAGGAACCTCAGCAAAATCTCCAAATGGTTACATGCTTCCGTTATTTTGCAACAGCTACTCCATTCACACGATCGAGTTTTGTTTGCGTACCATATTATTTTGACACATGCTCTTCATAAGAAAAAGTGAGCTGTTGATTTTGGCGTTTATTTGTGTCTGATCATGAAGAACTGCCGATTGTTCATGTTTTCAATGCTAAAGAAAATTAGAATTCATAGTACAATTGATGAGTTTTTGGTAAGAAAACTCCAACAGAAGTGCTAAATGGCTAGTGGGCAAGATTGTGCAAGCATAAATGTTAGATGTATTTAAGGAGCAATTAAGTCCCATCTGTAGCTAAGAAACTTACTGGGGAGAGAGAGTACTGGCTGAGATAATGTGCCTTAATGCTACCTTCCTCAAAGTCACAGATGCTATTTTTATGAATTAACATTTCCCTTTTATTATCACAAGCTCAGGGGGAAAATGTTAAGAAATAAACTCTTAAAAACGACAAATGAATAAAAGGCGACTTTCAGTCATGTAGATGTGTGAATGTGTAAGGTGATTAACCAACAAATAAACAAGTGTGTGTATATATTGAATGAAGACTGAGTGACAAGCACTGTAATACTAAAATAAGGATTTACCATTGCTGCCTGTAAGCTACATCTGTGATCTGTGGTGCAGAAAGAGACGTACAGAACTCACCAAAAGCCGAAGAGCGTGTATCTTGAGGGGTCTATATTTTTCAAGTTCATATAGAGGGCTAAAGTATGGATAGAATGATTAAACTGGATTTTAGATACAGCACAGCAATTTTGAAGTAAAAACTACATTAATAAAGGATGAGAGAAATGAAAGGATGGAGGGAAGGAATCAAACAAAAAATGCTATTGCATCAATGCAAAGAATACAGCAAAGAACTATTGAAGGACACAGTATATATACAGAATAATGGAATTCATGTACTGCATTGGAATTAAAAGTTAGATATATACAGCAAGATATGGTGGAGAAGGAAAATCATTTCATCTTTTGTGAAGCATAATTAGATGTCTGAATTTTGAAGCGTAATTCTAGTGATGGAAGACAGCTTCTGACAAAAAGCGATATGCATAAAATCAGTTCGTTTTCTTGATTAATTTACCACAGGAAAATGAAGTTGTAGGGTGGATTGAGTGGACATGGAAATGAAGACAGTCCTGGATGCTAATTAAATATGACAAATACAAGTGCTAAAATGAAAGGGTTCCCAAGTCCAGGGTCAAAGATAATTTGCTTCATAAACTAGGGTTGGGACTGAAGTTTTGTTATTGACACACTGCTTGTGAAAGAATTTGCCAGATTCTGCATAAATTTCTGGAGAGTTTCTTGAAGTTTTCTGCCTACAACTAAATCCTACTCTTCCAATGAAGACATGTCGTTCAATAGGTATTCTCTAGGTTTCTGACAGAAAGTTTTTCATAGAGTAAAATACATGGGTTTACATAAGTCACTCACTTATTTTTGTAAGTTAAAAATATTCCTGGTAATTACAACTTAATCATAACACAGAGTGATTTTACAGACCATTGTGCTAAGAAAACACTATTTTCTTTGACAGATCAATATTCAGTACCGGCTGATTCTTACAAAAACGCTAAGGCATTACTTTCTTGTCTCAAACACACCCATGCAGCAAACACAACCTTCAAAGATAACTGATTAAATATTTGACAAGTAACTGATTTAAAACTAAATAAATCACAGATATTTTAAAGTAAGCACATAACTACAGACACTAAAGCACATTTTTAATATTTCCCTGAATAAGTAATGTTAGTCCCTACATTATTGTTTTTAGTTTTCAATGCCAAAATCAAAGTTGGAGTTTCCCACCAGTTAGAATACAGATACAATTATATATAATTATGAACAGGAAATGTATATTGACTGTTATGTATTTTAAACGTAAAAACTAAAAATCACTGTAGCAATTTACCATAAATCTTCTTCTATGTGCTGGTGACTTTTCTTCCATAACTGTGAGTTTATCACCTATTTCACTAATTCCTAAGCCTTCTGTTCTGAAGTGTCACAAGATCAACCTCCTAACCACTGCTGGAGGAAAGATGTACGTTCTGTTTACTGAACTATGGCTGTTTCTGAAGAGGCTCATTCTGGGTTCTCCAGAAATAACATACTTGACCACTTGCATGCTCTCACACATCTGTTTATTCACACTGTGAAATGTCAATCAACTAAGTTCTAAACCATAACCAAGGACAGAAAAAGTAGTACCAGAATGGCCTGTGACCTTTCACTCAGATCAAGGTATGTCTGGAAAGTACTTTCATTTATGGAGTTATTGGAAGTGATTGTTAATGTATGCAATATCGCATTTTAACATGATATGTGCACTCTGCAAAGCTCCTAGAACTCTGGAAGGAAATCAGGAAGTGTGAGCAATGATGAAGCAAAGATTGACGTGAAATGAAAGCAAGGTCAAACTCCCCCAAAGGCATGTTTTTTAAAGATATGTTTGATTTCTCCTCCAATTTACTTCTCTGAAATCCTGTGGTTGTAAAATTCAACAAGATAGTTTAGAGAATTTCGTGTTCTCTATTGATTACCGGAATTTGTTGATGTTCCTGGAAGGTCACATAGCCCAGGACACACATTTTAAAGGTAAAGATAATCAAGATACTAAAATTTAAAGATTTCCAAGCACTATAACTACAAATAGAAATTTGAAGTGATTTATAAGTCATTGCTCTGAATACCAGGAGGATAAGGTCATTAAGATGGTATTTCATTTGGTGAGACTTTATCATTTATGATCTTTCCACTCTGAAAATTATGAAGCCTTACTAACTTTAAGACCTAGTTAATTCTAGGGTTTTTTAATGTTCCAAAAATTAAATCATCAGTTACAAAATTCAGACACTCTAAGATTATCTTTTAATGGATGGTCATTCCTCAAAAGTCACATTAAGCAAAATACCAGTGGGAAATGAATAGCTAGATTTATAATTTAAAAGCAACCTTGCAAAATAATGAAAGAATCATCTCATGGGGACAAATAGAATACATAATTGCAAGTTTCAGAGAATGCATTAAATTGAGGGGGTATTCTAATCTTTGTATTAGTATTTCTTCAGAAACTACTTATAAGCAACATTTCAACATAATTTTGCTGTTTTTCTTGTCCAAAGATAATCGTCCATAAGATTTTTTGAATGGAGAGAGGACTTGGAAACTTTGGAATTACTCAAGAATATAACCATGTAACACGAAACAAGTCAGTTATTGATAAATTATGCTGATTATCAGTGTACTTTTTAAAACGCCTGGTAACAGATCTGTTTAGTGTAAATATATTTTCAATTGTTATCCAAACACACCTCAGAGTAACTTCAATAAAGAGGGTTAGGACATAGGATGCTTTCATAAGTGTTTTGATTTAATATTTAAAAGGTAAATTTTTGTGGAATAATCTTAACATGGTTTGAAAGAAACATCATATATTGCACATAGTGGATCCTCAATTTTACTATTAAAATCCCATATTTAATTTCTTATTAATGCTTCTAGGAAATAGATTAGAAGGATAGAGTAATATATACAGGCAGATTTTAAAAATTTGTTTTTATGTACACATTTAAATAGGAAATTATCTTAATAAATGCACACATGTAAAAGTATAATAATGCATACTATTCCACATTTGTGTTTTTGTTGTTGTTGTTGATTGCTATTATTTTTTGTGATAAAATTCCCTAGGCTCAATGATTTCTCCTTTCACTCACCTTAATACTCCCTCCTCCCGCTGCTTTCCTCCATGTTATCACAATAGTGTAGTCCCCCAGGTGCAATCGCAAGCCCATCGTTCTGCCATGTAAGTGTACATGACACTGTAAGCATAGGGTGGCAGAAAGTGCAGCACCTGCATTTGTTTTTATGCATTGATATGCCTTGTTATTTTCTTATGAGCACTTATTGTAACTCATTCTTTTTTATTAGGAAAATATATCCTACTTGTGTACTTTCCCATTACTTTTGAATATTACACTAAATATGTTTTTATTTATTTAAAAATATCTTCAATGATAGAGAAAATGAGAATGGAGGAAGAGGAAGCAAATGTGCAACTCTGATTTTATTGACTTGTTTTATATACTAACAGTAATTTGCTGGAATAAGGATTGGGCTTCTGAATTGATGTAGGTGATGCATTTCCAACACTTTGGATTATTGGTACTAAGAGGCGGAGCCTTTACCTAAATGTGGAGTTTAGCAATTGTTCCTATAAGTAGATTCTTAGCTCTCTGAGGATGGATTGTAGTTCCTGTGGGAAGTTGGTTACGGAAGCTGGGTTTGGACCCAGTTGCTATTCCAGCTCCCTGGCTCATCGTGATTTTCCTGCCTGCAAGGGGAACCTGGTAACCTTGAAAACCTTGAGAGTAAATGAACCTCAGTTCTTCCTATGCAGCTTGATTATTATAAAAATACCATTTATCAGATTCCTGTTACTGCACTTAATTTCCTATTTAAATCTACATGAGGGTGAAAGACCATATAACATGATCTTTTGAAGGCTAACTTCATATGAATGTCAGGGGCATGTGAACGTGTCCGAATCAAACCAGTTTCCTAATAAAATACCCATTAAGGTATAGGCTGAAATACATCATCAGAAAACCTCGGCATATTTAATTTATCACAGTGTTTCAGTGGATTGCTTTAGAATGTTGAGTCAACACAAAGTCACATGAAAAGCAATTAAAAAACAAAATTGAAAATAAAAATATCCATTCCAAGTGCTCTTTAAAGATGATGATTTGTTTTAAATTTAGTCTCATCACAGTCGTTATTCAGTAGCATGTTACTAAACTCCCTGGTGCTTTAATTTTTTGTCAATTTTATTCCTGTTGGTTTTGTTTTATGAATCCTCATTTAAGAGAA